TATTTTTGTGTTTTGGTATTTTTCTTTATTTGCATTTAGTTTTTAGTAGAATAACTAATATGTTGATGACCAACTAAGTGAGGTAGAATGGTGTTTCCTCCACAGACTTAATGGTTTTCTATATATATGGACACTGTACCAAAGAAGGAAAGTGAGGCTCTGTATAAATTCATCCATTATTTTAGTTTTATTGTAGCCTCATCAACCTATGTTTAGATTCGTTTCACAAGTATGAGTTAACTGATAGCATGAAGCATTAGTGTCACTACCTTACCTTATCACTTACCTGCTGTGTAATAACCTCTTCAGCACTATGGATAAGTAGTTAACTTGAACTATTTTGTCATATACCTTTTCATTGGACACCTGCCAGCCAATCAAAATCAAATTATTTTCCATAGTTATGGTATTGTAATGATATGAACTATACACACACAGTGGTGGTTGCTGGCACCAAGAGTTGTATATGTAATGGCTCTAAACATGAATAACATGTATAACTGTCAATCTGGAACCCAGCTCTGTTTTTCTCCTTTGTTTTCTGTATTTAATATTAAAATTTGATGGTAGAATCCCTTACTTTCTTTTTAAGACCTTTTTTGCATGTTCCATTCATCATCCCACAGTTTTAATAATCCTCCATCATCTGCTGTCAAACACAAGGCCACTAGGCAGGACCAGTTTTCACTCCTACACTTTTTGTCTCTTACTTACAGTAACAGCCACCTTTTAATTTTCTTTCTATTCTTATTATTGCATGAGAGACAACATCCACCAGTGACCTACAACTTTATTCTGTTAAATCATAGATGCTATAATTAGTAATACAGGCTTGTTGTGTTCCTATAAGCATGTAAGATGAATAATGAAGGCACAAGACCATAGTGCCTGGAGGCAAATACCAATTTCAGAAGCTGTGTGAGTGTCCACATGAAGATGCGAAAGAGCTTTTGATTTATTTCTCTCCGTCTTTGTTCTGCCTCATCTGTTTTACAACTTTATTTATTTCCTTTCTCTTCTCAAGTCTCATCTTTCTGTGAAGTCTCTTTGTCATTTTGTGTCCTTCTCTGTTAACCGCATAATCTGTTCTGCCAGTCTCAGCCATTTCTCGTCCCCCCATCTGTCCATGTGTTCATTCAGAGCAGCTGTCCTACCAGGAACATCAGTACTGTAATGTCAAAGTCACAAAATCATTTAAATTTATTAGCAGTAGTGCTTTGTCTCATACTGTAACTCATACTGAAAACTATAACCTACATCATGACATTTGTGTAACATTAAGATAAAAAAAATCCTCATCAAAAGTTCTTACTTTCTAATTGACATTTTTGAATAAATTTTGTTCTATTTTCATATTTTTTAACTACTTGACCTATGTAAGTTAGTTTTAATTTAAAAATGTACAGTATATGCAGAGGCTTTAGAAAGTATTCAAACCTTTCTTCACTTTTTAATGCAATTTGTGTTGTATATTAATTTTATATGGATAAAAATACAAGTTTTGCCGACTAGTTTATGTGCCATAACCCACAACAGCAAAGAGAGGAGCAGTGCCTGGAGTTTGTCAGATATAGGAGGTCTGCCAAAAGTGCTAAAGACCAGAGAATACACAGACAGGTGACAAATTACCACATGCCACCAGAACAGCTTCAGAGCTTCTTGGCATTGATTCTCCAAGTCTCTGAACTCCACTGGAGGGATTAACACCATTCTTCCAAAAGATATTCCCTCATTTGGTGTTTTGATGATAGTGGTGTAGACACTGTCTAACATGTCGGTCCAACATCTCCCATAGGTGTTCAGATGGGATGAGACCTGGTGACTGTGAATGTCATAGCATATGATTCACATCATTTTCATACTCCTCAAACCATCCAGTGATCCCTTGTGGTCTGTGGATGGGGGCATCGTCATCCTGGAAGAGACCACTCATTTATTCAGCTTTTTCCTTTATTCTTGGTCACCTGTCTGTAATTTTTCATGCTGTCAGAGTTCTTTAAATGCTGTTTGGTAAACTCCAAGCAGGCCAGCATCTGCCTTTTACTCAGTGTGGCTTCTGTCTAGCTACTCTACCATAAAGGACTGATTGAGGGAGAGCTGTTGAGATGGTTGTCCTTTAAGGAGGTTCTCCTACGTCCAGTGGAGTTTACCTCCCTGATCAAGGCTCTTCTCACCCGGTTACTTAGTTTAGTGGACGGCCAACTCCAGGAAGTGTCACAATTATTCCAAACATCTTCCATCTCATATTAAGGCCATGTTTGTTTATAATTGTAACATTGATGATCAGAACAATATGATGTGACATCATATTGCCATATACTGTATGTCATATTTTAAAACAAATTTATACATAAATGTAATTCCACATAAGAAACGTACTTTTTTTTTTTTTACCATTGTGTGTCTATCACTTGTTGATTCACATATGTGTCAAAACTAAAAATAGTGTCTTTCTTTCTTTCTTTTCTATGCTGTCACTTCACACAGCTCTCAGCAGAGCCACAGGAAGCCCTCCGCGATGGGCTGACAGGCTGCTTCCTGTTTTGAAGCACAGTGGTGGTTTTGTAGAGAAAACCAAATAGGGCCATTTTGATGGAGGCATACAGTACTTTTTAATTTGCATTTTATCAGGGGATGTAGGCTGAATTTTTTTTTTTTTTTTTGCTTTGCTTTGTGCATAAATGTACAGCTATTCTAATCTGGCTGGACAATATGTGTCTATTTTGT